AATCTGGACTCTTGTCACTTCTTGCTTCCTATAGGAAATTTTTTTAAAAAAATGCAATTTTCTAAAATGAAAACTAATATTAAAGTATTTCAACCAACACAGCCTTGGTGTATAAAGTGCAGAAACCAAATATGTGTTTTCATCTTATATAAAGAAAGGATCTGAAGGTCGCATGAAGTAACGTCACATATTCCCATAACAGAAAATACTCAGCTTAAAAAAAATCCACAGTGTAATGACACATCCAAAAGGTTTTTACTATATAAAATAAAAAATAAGATAATATTAGTAATATAACAAGACAACAAATGAAAAGACATGAAATGACCTTAGCAGAGTAAACTAGGAGGTTTCTGTATCAACTAACAAGAATTCTGGATATATAATATGGCTTTCAAAATCCTAAAACATTATTATATCATCAAATTTTAAAGAAAAGTGTGAAAAGTCAGCTTATCCTAAATCTATTCAATTGTTTATACTCTCTGCAGTATTTGCACTGAAGACCCTGGCATGTCTCTGATATGTTACAGTGCTACCCACTGTCAAGAGGGCCATCCTACTAACCTGTAATCCAGGGCCAGCAGAGGCACCTACCCACACTGACAAAAGAACACGTTCTGCTTTTATACAAATCTAACACCTAAGAGTAGATTATTTTACTTGGTATGGCCAACATCCACCCTATTTACAGATATTTCTGGAGATGAAATACATTAACTACAACGATTTTTTTAAGCCCAGATTTTAGCAAAACATGATTACATAATGCAATTCTCCACCTTAAAATGGTAACCACCTACATAAAACACATAAGCAACCGAGAACCGTCAAAATGCGAGCATTATCAGCAAGACTGATCAGCAGTCAACTGTCGCATCTACCCGGCCCTGTCTGAATCTCAGAAATGTGGTCACCAAGACATCACCAGCCAGATACTCAGAGGCCAACTAATCACACTATCACCAGGAGCCACATACTATACAGTTTGTCAACTGTATAATGAAATAAAGAATTATTTTAGAACAACTCCATTGTTTGGATACTTCTGATGTTTAGATTCCCAGAAGAATGGTATATCTATATATAAACACTGTAAAAAACCAAAAACCGAACCTATTGCCGTTGAGTCGATTCTGACTCATAGTGACCCTATAGGACAGAGTAGAACCACCCCATAGGGTTTCCAAGGAGGAGCTGGTGGATTCGAACTGCCGACCTTCTGGTTAGCAGCTCAACTCTTAACCACTAGGCCACCAGGGTTTCCATAAATGTAACAGTGAGTGA